CTATTGTGTTTTGATTGAAAACAATGCTTTTATTTGTTTGTCACCGAGGAATGAATCAATGGCAGTTGAGGCCCGCGTTAAGTGCGCGTCGCCTTATATCTTGGAAGTTGGCCGGAATAGGCAGTGTAGATAGTTAAATGTATGTTTACTCCTTTGTTCAACTCAGACTGACCTGATCCTTCAAGAGTTGACGTAGGTCGGTGACATCATGCTCCAGCTCCTCGATTCGCTCCAGTCTTTCCCCGTCCACTTCCAACAACTCGTTGTACTGAGTGGTGAGAACCTGAAGACGAGGAACTTGTATGCATGGACACTTAGAATTGTTCCTACCTTCAAAGACTTCTCAAGCTTCCTTATTTGTTCTTCTAGCTGAGTGCAGCGCATGGCTTCGTTTTCCAGATAAGCCAACCTCTTCAATGACATTTCTTGCTGAAATCATAGTGTGATGAAATAAGATTACTACGTTGTGCTACAACAAACCTGCGGGCTGATTGAGTTCTGAGGAGGAGCGAATGAAAATGGTGCGATTGGAGAATTATTCAATGGGAAGTTGTCAAATGAATCGCTCGGCGAATGGTTGAGATCCTTGGAGGTGAGAACATGCGCTGAAGTTTCGACAACTGCTTGGGCACGTTCTGCCGTTCGTGCTTCCGCAAGTGATGTTTTTAATGTTTCGTTCTCGTTCATCTGAACCGAGTCAATGGGCAAAGTTGAAAGTCAGAAAAGCCAAATCTTTCCAGCATATACATTTATAGGGCAAGAGACAGATAGCGTATGTTTTCAAATGCATCGAACTCAATCAAGATGTTAGGAGAATAGGGTACGGTACCCAGGCAACTACAGAACCTAAGCGCTTTCGAATTCTTTAGAACAAAAATGATTAGATAATGCTGACTAAAATATATTATAAACATCAAATAAAAGGATCATCCACAGTACCAAAAACCAGAAGTCCAATCTCACCAATTCTTTCAAGGTATTGCGAAGCGTGCTGCATTCATGCGACAGTGTGACGTTTTCTTCACGCATTCCGTCTATTTCCCTGGTGTGAGCTGCTTGCGTTGTCTTCTGCTCAGCTAATAATGCGTCTCTATCCTTGAGGACACTGAAATTCGCTGCCTAGAACGTCGACAGCCACATAAGGACAACTTACTGTGCTAACTCTCTTTCAAGGTGCTGCACTTTTTGATTGACGACCGTAAGCTCTTGAAGATGGTGTGCCACCAGTGAGTCATTCTGAACAAGTATGATGAAAGCG